CAGAGTGGAACTGCCCACGGGGTCTCCAAGGCTGTCAGTCTTCACAGAAGCAAAGCCCAAACCACACCCACTGCCGTGGAGTCCATTCTGACCCACAGCTCCCCTAGAGGACAGAGTGGAACTGCCCACAGGGTCTCCCAGGCTGTCAGTCTTCACAAAGCAAATGGCCTTATCTGTTTCCTGTGGAGCTGCTGTTGGGTTTGAACCTTTCTGGTTAGCAGCCAAGCACTTAACCAGTGCAAAGATGTGTCAAAAGTTAAATTAAATGACCTTTTAATTGGCTCACACATGGTTTATGTACAACTCGGAGAAGTAGGACGTGCTGATGTAGGAAGGGACAGAAGGTGGGCTTCTAATATTTCCTAAAGCACCTGGGGGGAAGGGGAGGTTCTGGTCTGTGACCGGGGCCTGAGGGGGTCCTGCACAGAACCAATCACAGCATGGAGTGAAGGTCAGCTTCCTGGGGTGTCGGTGTGAGGACGGCCTCGCCAAGGATCCTCTCTCCTCCACACCCAACCACCGCAGCCCACGGACCCAGTTCATGCTTGGCCGCTGGAGTCTGCCAAACCGGCCCCGCGCATGGGAGGGCCACTTACCCTGGGTCCCCACAAGAACCAGAGGGATCTCACTCGTGTTCCGATAGTTGGCCATCCGGCTGTAGTAGTGGTACACGGTCTGGAAACTTATCTCATCCTCCAAGCTGAAGACAAAGATAACCGCGTCCACCCACATGGCAAACTAGGGAGAAGAGACGGGGGGAGAGCAGAAGGACCACATGAGGGACAGCCGTGGCCGCAGGGCCTGCCTCGAGGCGCGAGCACAGGTCCGGCTGGCTGCTGCTCCCAGGACACTGTCCGCCACCCACACGATGCTCAGTTGCTCCCCCCCCCGCTGTCTGCCACCCCTCCACGTACCCCCACCTCTGTGCTCCCCCAGGGACAAGACCCTCGTCACCTTCCCACCTAGGGCACCTGTCTCCAGGCAACAGCACGTGTGCTTCCCACGGTCCTTGTGTTCCTCCCGGAATGTCCTCCCTGACTCAGCCAACCCAGCCCTGCAGACCGGAGGCAAACTCTTCCCTCCACCACCAGGGCCTTCCAAACGGGCCCGACGTTGAGGCCACCCTGAGCCTTTGTCCTCCCACTCCACGTGCTCCACTCCTCCCCGTCCTTCACGTGGAACGCCCACACTCCAGCGCCCGCTGGGAAGCTTCGCTGGCCCCTCAGGCAGAGATGGAGGCTCCCCTGGGCGCCCACAGGCTGCTCAGAAACCCCACAGTCCTGACCACCACTCGCTGCGGCTGGAGGCCCAGACTTCTGCCAGGAGAGCACTGTCACCATAAAGCCTGCTTCAGCTCGTCCACTTCTTAGAGCAGCACTGGGGGTGGGGGTCAGGACCCTGTGGGGAGCGGGAAGAGCACCCTGGGGGTGGGTGGGCTGAGTACGGGGAGTGGGAGAGGACCCCTGGGGGGGGTGGAGAAAGTACCCCAGGGGAGGGGAGGAGGCGACCCTGGAGAGGTAGGGAGCACCCCGGGGATGGTGGTGGAGAGTGTACCCCAAGGGTGATTGGGAAAAAGACATGAGAGGGGGCAGGGGAGGGCCCCGGGGGAAGTCACGTCCTGCGTTTAGCTCACTGCACACGCACAGGCAGGAACCTGACCCCCCCCACTACCTGTCCCTGCGTGTACCTTCATTCCACTGAACCTACACAAGTCCTTGTTCTGGAAAATGACACACTGTCAGGCAACAGTGCCTCATTTAAAACCCATAAACCAAAGCAAACCGGTGCCATCCAGTCACACCCGACTCCTGGCGCCCCACGCGCCACAGAGCAGAACCGCACAGCCCCCGAGGGCTTCCCTGGTTGTCACCTGTGAGGCCTTTCTCATGGGGAACTACTGGGGGTTCAAACTGCCAACCCCAAAACAAACCCAAACCACTGCCATCGAGTTGCTTCCAACTCAGAGACCCTGTGGGACAGAGTAGAACCGCCCCAGAGGGCTCCCGAGGCTGTCCATCTTCATGGAGTAGACGGCCTCATTGCTTTCCCGTGGAGCGGATGGTGGCTTCGAACTGCCGACCTTTTGTTTAGCGGCCCAATGCTTTAACCACAGTGCTACCAGAGCTCCACCTTCCAACCAGGGACCCTTAAGGCTCACAAGCTCCTTGTAAGCAGAAGCTGAGGGAACAGGGGCCCTGAAGTTCGGTGGCACCTTTCCAGAGCCACACAGCTCTGGCCCCCCAGGAATGGAGATGTGTCTGCCCGGCACCGAGACACTTCTCTTGCAGGGGAGAAAAGTCCTGTTTGCTTTCTCTCAAAGCTGTCCTAGTTCCCAGCTGGATTTTCCAACCAGGGCATCCAACTGAACGTATCTGGGAAATTCTGTGAATTTAGCCCCAGCTGCACATGTAACTGATGAGCACTTGTGAAAACTCTATGTGGTAAAGCTTCGACCAACCTGACGCTCTAGTGTAAATTAAAGAAGAAAAAGGACTTGGAGGAAAAAATTCTGGGACAGACCGAAGGAAAACCTGGCAGCCCCTGTCAAGCAGCCAGGACCCAGGCTGATCTCCCTCTTCCAAGAAGCTGGATGACTCTGCTCCCCGTGGTCCGGGGCCCACACTGAGCAGGCAGCACGTTCCTGCTCGAGCAGCTTGCCATCCAGAGGCCTGGTCTGGTGTTCAGAGACACAGGTGGGACCCTGTTTCAACTTCCACACAGAGGAATGCAAACCGCTTTCCCAACTTGCACGCCCGTGGCACGAGCGGTTCTCGTGCCTGGCTGCTCACGGAAAGGCTGGAGGTTCCAACGCACCCGAGGTGCCTTGGAAGAAAGGCCTGGCCATCTCCTTCTGATAACTCAGCCCAACGGCCCTATGGTTCCCCTCGCCACAGGAAGGTGCCGCGAGCCGGGCTCAGGCCACTGTTAACTCTTCCCTGTCTCCCAACGGTGCATGGGGACCGTCCTGCTACCTGGCAGGTGACTCCTGTCACTGACTGCCATGCAGTGGATTCTAATCATGGTGACCCCAAGCATGCAGTGCAGAATCACACGCTCTTAACCCCCCAGAGCCGCTGCAGCAGAAACACCACCCCCAAGTGGCTTTCACGGACTGAAGTGTGTCCTAGTCCAGGAGGCTGAAGTCAGGGCTGCACGCTCAGCAAAGGCACGCTGTCCTTGTGGGCTCTGGGGGAAGGCCCCTGTCTCTGCGTCCCTAGCCTTGGCATCTGAGGCTCCTTAGCCATCTGCGTGGGTACTGTCCTCCCCCACGTGTGCCTGTCCCCTTGACCAGCCCACTCTTTGCACTCTGTATCCTCAGAAGTCACCATGGTTAAGACACACCTGCACTGACACAGCCTCGTTAACATAACAAAGACAGCCCTGTCCCCAAAGGGGACCCGTCCACAGGCTGTGTGGTGTTACGCTGCTGTCGGTGTTGCTGCATGCCATCCAGTCCATTCCGACTCACAGGGAATCCACAAGACAGAGGAGCCCTGTCCCACAGGGTTTCCTAGCCCACCATCTTTACAAAAGGAGCACTAGAGGTGCAGTGGTTAAGTTAAGTGCTGCCAAAAGGCTGGCAGTTTAATTAATTAATTAGAGTTACTAAAAGGAAGAGGGAGCTCTGGTAGCATAGTGACTAACGCACCTGACTGCTAACCAGAAGGCTGGCAGTTCAAACCCACCAGCCACTCCTCAGGAGGAAGATGGGGCAATCTACTTCCATAGTGATACCGCCTCAGAAACCCAAAGAGGGGTGGCTATGAGTCAGGTCTGACTCAATGGCACATAACAACAACAACAACAAAAAGAAGAAAAAAGTTACTTTATCAAATGACTTTATATCTGAAGCACTTTAAGCTAAATTAAAGATGCCTTGGTGGCACAATGATAAAGCACTCGGTGGCTAACCAAAAGGTGGGCAGTTCACACCCACCCAGTGGCTCTGCAGGAGAAAGAACTGGCCCTCTGCTGCTGTAAAGACTGCAGCCCAGACAGCCCTGTGGGGCCATCCGACTCTGACACGGAGTCGCTGTGAGTCGGCATCGACCGGCGTGGCAGTGAACGGGAGACCTCTCTCAGGGACACCCCCACCAGAGACTGGCCCAGGGACCGTGCGGAGCCTGGGAGCACTTGGTGTGGGCTTCGTAAGCAGAGCACCACAACAGAGAAAAACTAGAGGCCACCCTGATGACATCCTCGCAGGAGGTAACAGTGGGCCAGTGCTCCACAGCCTAACCCACCAGAGCCCCCCTCCAATGTGGATTTGGGGGCAGGGCTAGTTCTCATACAGACCATTTCACCACAACGGAACAGGACCTCAGTGGGAAGAAGGGAAACGCTGACATGACGACTGGCTGGGCTGCTCCTTTGAGAGCACTCACTCAACTCACTTCCTGAAACGGAGCCTGGGCACAGAAAACCAGCAAACCAGCCACCCACTGTCAAGTCGACTGCAACCGTGACGGCCCCACGGTGGGGTAAAGCAGAACAGAGCCACGCTCCGCAGGGTTTCCAGCAGGGAATCTCCCAAGGCCCATCTGGTGGACCGGAACCCCCCACCTTCCGGTCAGCTGCCAAGCACACCATCACTCACACCCCCACGGGCCCCCTACACAGAAACCAAAGGGAGCAAGCCAGTTACCGCGTCGGCGTACACTACTCACCTGCGCCTCTGGGGGGCCCCCTTCATCTCTAATCAGCAGCAGATAGCTCTGGCCGTCAACAACAATCTCTTTCTTGAACCTTCCCCCTGCCGCACACAAAAGAGCCGGTCACGGAGGAAAGCAGGGCGGGGAAAGGGCAATAGACGTGGGCTTCGCTTGTGGGAAAATACACCCTGGCTGGCCCCTGCAGCAAACCTGAGCGACTGGGAGTGGCCTTCCCGTCTGTCCCCAGCAGCCACTGAATTTTACCACAACTACAGAATTTAGGTTTAAATATTTGACTTTAAGAATTCACATTCGTCTGAGTCAGAAAATGAGCCTCCCAAGGTGCCGGAGCGCCAAGGCTGAGGGGAGCGGGACTGCAATGGGCTTTACGTACCAATCCCGTTCTCCCGCCCCGGGGATACCCGGACACAGCGTTCAGCGGCAGAGAACACCGAAATTGTCATTCTCTCGTTGGGTTCACAAAACTGAAACGAATCACGCTCAGCGGGTGCCCGGGTTCCACGAATTGGTGCACTGAGGGGCTGGGGACCTGTATTGTCCTCAAGGGAAACCCAGTTCTTGGAAGGAAGACACAGAACGTCACGAGGATGGGCTTTCCGCGGTCGCGGTCCACAGTGAGGGAGGACGCTGCACTACCACACACACGTTAGACAGACTACTGACGCACCCCGGACGGGGGACAGAGCGGAGCGGCTGGCGGGAGCAGGCGTTAGAGGCGACAAGGGTTAGCAAGGGCGCTGGACCAGGGGCAGTGCGAGCACCCTGAGAAGGTGAGGCCCAGAGGACTGCCCTACACACTTGGCACCCCCCTGCAGCGGGAGGGCCACGCGGCCAACCTCACGGGCCTCGCACCGTGCCGGGGTGTGTTCCTGCTTCCAGGCAACTCTGCCTCCTCCAAAAACAAACCACCCCAAGATGAGGGGCTCCGAGTCCACCCCGGCTGGCCCTCAGGGGACCTGCATCCCTGCACCGGGGGAGGGCTCTCACTCCACA